TTGCTGTTCTGTGAGTCTATTGTGCAAGTGGTGTGATATGCCCATGTAGAAAGGACGGCACTGCAACCCTGGACTTGCCCTTACTCTGGGCTCCCTCTTTATTCTGGCAACTTGTAAAAAGAAAACAGCACACAGTCTTCATTAACAGTGTGCAAAGCAACTGCAACATTCAGTTCACCAGCTTGGGAGTTTTTTTCCTTTTTTTTTTTCTTTCCAAACATAACATATACAACATAACATCAAAAAGTCTTTCTTTTAAAAGTTCTGGCTGAAACCAAACCTGTGATCGTATAATAGCAGTATTATTTATTTATTTTTCTCCTTTTTCCTAACCAACTAACATATAAAAACAGCTTTTCTATTATAAAACAATCATCATTGTTCATCATTTTTTTTCCTATACAACAGCATCAATTAAAACTTATACTTAACAGCGCCTACCTGGTACAAAGAAAACAGCACACAGTCGTCATTAACAGTGTGCAAAGCAACTGCAACATTCAGTTCTGTTAAAAAGAATTAGAACAATTACAATCTCATAGAGAAGCATTAGAGCTGAGTGCAAATCAAAAAGCACCCGACTAGCTAACGAGTATTAGCTTAGCATGCTAACTAAAAATGCTACTTGTACTTGTGAATAAAGTTACTACCCATGCATCAAAATGCCTGTAACTTTCAGGATACATGCTAGTACTGCTTACAATCAAAATACATGTTGACAATTACCACTATAAGAATGTTTTCATTAATACAATTACAAAATTGACAACAGTATCACTCACTAGCACCTACCACCAGCTTGGAAGTTTTTTTCCTTTGCTGAGGCATGCGCTGTGCAGCAATTTGGAACCTTAACAGTTGCAGTTGCTGTGTTTGTCCACCAGGTAGCTCCAACTATTCACAAAGCACATCAATTTTGAGGAAATTCATTAAGCTATTTTCTAACTCTGTTACATCTAGCCTTCAGATTTGCGTCACCAGCTGTGACACCACAGTGTGCCGTAGTTCCTTGCTATCTAAAATATATGAGGACACTGGCGTAAATTCTTGACAGTCTCACACTTCTGTTTAATCAGTTTTCTGTTTGACGTTCATTCAGCTGTGTCAAAATCCCAGAGGAACCCACCTGATGGATTACTAAAGTTTTATTTAATCTAATCTAATCTAATATCTTTGATCTCAGCCAAACCAATTTATTCCGGTACAAATAAAACACATAAAAAAGTCCAACAATTACTTTTTTAAGTTATCCGAGTGACTTATATATCATATTTAACCTGAGTAGCAAAAGACAGCGGGGGTCATGTTGGTCGTGTGTAAATTACGTTGAGTAGGCTAACCACGTTATTACATTAATGCATGTAAGGTAAAGTAGCAAACACCGTCATAGTTACATGCGGCTGTCTTCTTGTTTGATGGCAGATACTCCCTGGCCAAAAGAAAGGCCAAAGAAAAAGAGCAAAACAGTTAAACATGAGAGGCGATCATGGCTCACGAGTTGGCAGTTCGTCTTGTAATCGGAAGTTTGCCGGTTCGAGCCCCGGCTCGGACAGTCTCGGTCGTTGTGTCCTTGGGCAAGACACTTTACCTTACCGGTGATGGCCAGAGGGGCCGATGGCGCAATATGGCAGCCTCGCTTCTGTCAGTCTGCCCCAGGGCAGCTGTGGCTACAACTGTAGCTTGCCTCCACCAGTGTATGAATGTGAGAGTGAATGAATAGTGGCATTGTAAAGCGCTTTGAGGGGTCCCGAAAAGCGCTATATAAATTGCAATCCATTATTATATTTGGACATGGTTTGTGTTTTTTCCATTGTTTAAGCAGTGTTTCCAGCCAAGAGTGATACCATATATGCCCTATAGCTGCAGAAAAGGCTAACATTGTTATCTTTTTACAAAAAAAACAGCTAAACATGAGAGGTTTTTGGACAAAGTTTGTGTTCTCCATTCTTTAAGCACCGGTTTGAGCACCGTTTAGGCACCGGCACAGTTTCAAAAGTACCGGTTTGGCACCAGTATTGGATAAAACCTAAACGATACCCATGCCTAATGACATGACTACCTTTAACAGACTTTATTTGAACTGGCAGAATGGATAGAAAACCGCTGTCTCTTCCGGCCCCTGTATGACCACAAGTTTTCATAGGAGTTCCATAGTTTCATAGGAGTACATTCTTTGAAAAGGAGGGCTCTCCAGAGGTCTCTGGACTTAAACCATTGTTATCAATATGGAGGACAGTGGTATGACCTTTACCACATGTCCTACATGTCAAACGCTTAGCACAGTCCTTACTTATGTGCCCAGCACATAAGCAACCAAAACACAGGCCTTTCTCCTTCAGAAAAAGCATTTGTCTCTCTGCTTCTTCCGCTGAAACTGTTGACACTCCGTTCGCTCTTCATCGGTAACGTCGGTTCCAAAGCCGTGCTTTGTGTACCGATCGTTACTAGCGTAACTGCGTGCCTGTCCCAACCCATCACTAGCCTTCCCCGTGTTTGGGTCTAGCCAGCACGCCACACGGAGCATCTAACATCGAACATAGAGCAAAGAATGCAGTAGTCCTCAGTTTTCCCTGAAACACATTCATGGCCATTAGCTTTTAATCAAATGTTATTTCTTGAGTAATTAAAATATATTAGTACAGTTTTTCCAGAAATACTTCATGGCAAATTAGTCTCCTGAATTTTTTTAGACGCTGGACACAGCATGGCCTTATTTTTATTACCCTTTGACTCAGCTGTGACCTGCTTTTAATTAGTTCAGGGTCAGTTTCCTTTTCATTAAGTCTTCTTACAAGTACATCAGAATGATCTGCTGTCATGCTAACACAAGTTGACACATGGTTTAACACCATTTCACATCAAAACCACGAAGGGAAGATCAATTGAAATAGTTATATCCAACATTATTATGTTCTAACTTAAGGAAATACACAAAGTGTGACTCTTGAACAAACCTCCTTCAATGTTCAGAATGATCAAAGTGGATAACAAAGACATTTCTCTCAGTCACCTGTTTGTGTTTATGAAAAACAAGGTACTAATCAGCAGTGTTGGTCAAGTTACTTGAAAAAAGTAATCAGTAACTAATTACTGATTACTTCCCCCAAAAAGTAATCCCGTTACTTTACTGATTACTTATTTTCAAAAGTAATTAATTACTTAGTTACTTTTTAAAAACACGATTTACAACCTGAAGAGGTGATAAAGTGATAGATCTTTCAGCCCAATTCTACTTTTTCTGCATAATCCATCATACAAAATGTAATCAAATGGAAAAGTCTCTTTTTAAAACTTGTTTTATTAGTTTTAATCTTTTAACTTTATGCATCAAGCAAAAATTTAATTATATGCAACATTCTCTGACTTGAATAAATTAGTTTAACATTTAAACCTATTTTCTGCACATTCCAGCACATAAAATAAAATATTTTTTGTGTTTACACTCACTCTTTCAAATAGATGCAAGTAAAACACAGCAGAACATAAATAAAGTCAAAGACTAGCGGTCCTATTTTCACCTGTAAAGCAGGACTAAGGTAGGCAGAGGTTTACCCTGGTGCAGGTGTGCCGCGGTCAGTTGAAGAATCCGCGAGTTTCTCTGTGAATTTCCCATTACGTCGTTGTGCACTCGGTGCTTGCTTGGAAGTTTAGGGGTTTTTCGCTGTAAAAAGAAGTTTTCTTCCCACGCACGATGGACGCTAATGTTTTTGTCACTTTTTATGGAATCAAACTCAAAGTAAGGTCAGTACTTCCACGCGTTAAACGCTGCACACTTATACTCTCTCCGCAGTCGATATATTATTCATTGTTGATCTGCACACAGCTGTTGTCACCAACGGCGCACTCGCTTACGTCACTGTCATGAAACATTATCGCAAAGAAATCACGGTTTTAGTAACGCAGAAACGCAGCGTTACTACGGGAAAGTAACGGTAATCTAATTACCGTTTTTGCAATAGTAATCCCTTACTTTACTCGTTACTTGAAAAAAGTAATCAGATTACTGATTACGCGTTACTGCCCATCTCTGCTAATCAGTGTCAGTGCGCCCCAGGGCAACTGTGGCTACAATGTTGTTTCCCATCACCAGTGTGTGAATGTGTTTGTGAATGGGTGGACTGTATGTAGTGTAAAGCACTTTGGGGTCCTTAGGGCCTAAGTAAAGCGCTATACAAATACAGGCCATTTTCCATTTAATACACAGTCTGTGATTGCTCCACATTGTTAGTTTACTCTGCCTGTCTGTGGGTTTTTGTCCAACTTGGAGTGAACAAAAGCAGAAACAGTAAAAAACGTAAACTGTGAAAGTCTAGTTTATTTCATGAATACAAAAGAAAAACATTTGCAGTCAGCAGAAAAAAGTAGCATACATGCATGATAAAATGGATACTGGTATATAACATGGACAGTCAGAGTAAAATTCATTGTCTTACCACGTAAGATATGTTTTAAACTTAAAAAGAAAAACACACTGAAATTAGTTTCTATATTTGCCTGTAAGTCTTGTATACAATGTGGAATGTTAAACCATGTTCAGCGGTCCCCAAGCCCCAGGCCATGGACCGGTACCAGTCCATGAGTTGTTTGGTACCGGGCCGCGAGAGTTGAGGCTTGGGCGTGAAATTTATGGTTTTCATTAACTCTCTTTGCCTGGGTCTTTTCCCCATGTTGTAGTTGTGTGTCTTATTTTGAAAGAAACATCTACATGTTACCATAGTGACCAGAGAGCATTAAGGGGCAGAGAGGAGGATGTTGCTCTCAATCTTGTGGGCCCATTTCCGGAGGACGCTGCTAATAAAGTTACACGATTACACGGTGAATTCACGTTTATTATTTTATTTACAAAATTCCAGTGTTTGTCTTGGTCGTATCATTTTATTTTGTTGTATTTATCCGCCTTAAAAGTCAGTCCATGAAAATATTGTCTGACATTAAACCAGTCAAAAAAGGCTGGGGACTGCTGCTGTAGATAGTTAATAAATCTGTTTATCTGTTTTTTCAGACCTCTGACCCTGAAACCAGAAGAGGATCTTTCTGTCTCTTCAGATTCATTGTGATCCAGTGATGGGAGTGATTTCATGATCACGCTGATGTTTGCTCAGAGCAGATAATGAAGTGAATGTTTTTGCACATTGGTAACAGTGAAACAATTTATTTGCAGCGTGGGCTTGTTTGTGTTTGGAGTATGAACTGAGCTTACTGAACCTTTTGTCACACTGGTCACAGCTGAAGTTCCCTTCAATGTGTGTACGTTCATGATTGTTACGACTCCCTGAGTACGAGAAACTTCTGTCACAGTGTCTGCACTTGTATGGTTTCTCTCTTGTGTGGACTCGTTTGTGTCTATTAAGCTCACCTGCAGAGGTGTAGGATGACCCACACTGGTCACAGACGTGCTTTTTAACCCCACTGTGACAAAGTTCATGGTTTTTTAATTCACTTATAGTGGGGAAGCCGCTCCCACATTCTTTGCAGTAGTTCATTTTGTCTCCAGTGTGTCTACGTTGATGTAGTTTTAGGGTGTTTGAATGACTGAAAGTTTTTCCACAAAGGTCACAGCGAAACTCTTTCCCACCACCACAGTGACGACAGGGTTGAGAACTGGATCCATCTGTGTCGCTCTGCTTCTAAACAAAGACACAAACACAGTAAGTCAGTCCTTCAACATTTTAATCCAGAATGAAGCTTGAAATAAAGAGCATCTTTGCCAACATCCAGTTACATTTTACTGTCACAGTGAAACTATACACACAGCTTGGTTGCATTGATAGAGAAGCCACTGAAGCAGCTCAGCGCCTTCGTGAACGAGGTGCAGCGAACAAATACTGTCAAATACTGCGTGAGTCATGGCACCACTTACCTCAACATCCAGTTGTGAAAGCTGCATCAACCTGAGCCAAAAAGTGATCGAGCTGGAACAAAGGATATCAGAAGGCAGAGGGATAGGCCGTTTCAGCCGGCTGCTCAGCCTTAACACCTGGCTTTCCTCCCCCTGTGTCTCCCATGGTGTGGGTTTTATTAACAATTTTGATGCCTTCTGGGAGAGGAGGCATCTTTTTGGGGCAGACGGGCTCCACCTCAACGCCTGGGGACGCCGTCTGCTGTCCGCCAATTTACCATTTGGCGTACAGCACTCCCGCACACCGCCCTGTCATTACTCAAACCGACATTACCTGCTGATCTATCCGCCACGGACTGATGTCCCCCTGGTCCCAGCTCCTATATCTGTTCAACTTTTAACAGTAATACACAAAAACTCTGGACTCGGACCTCTCTCTCCCACAGTCAACATAATACCCGTCATAATCACAAACAGAGAGCAACAGAATTATCATAAATCCAGTAACTCCAAAAACATTAATAACCTCCGGCCTCTTCAAAAATGTCAACATGCCAACCTCTGGATGTCGGAAGTTTTGATCTCCTCCATACCTGCTTCATGCTCTGGTGGACGGGGCTGCGGCCCCCCCACACCCTCTAGCAGATCATTACATGAAGGAACCTTTTAAAAACAAGCGCGTCCATGCTCACAGGTGTACACACGGGTGCTCACACACACAAACTACACCCTTTTTGGCTCCTACCTCAAAGCACACTGTGTTCTGTTGATCTTATGTGCTGCACAATAATGTTTAATATTTTGTTTTTATTGTTATATTCCCATATATCATCGTCATGTTGTTTATTCTATCTTCTACTTGTTTTCTTTCTCAACAGGTGATCCAGGTGATTGATATATGTATTTTTTGTCTGCTTATTTCGTTGGATTTTGTTTTTTTTGCCCTTTATCCTTGTCCCTCTTCTCTGCTGTTTTTCCCTCTTTCTTTCTCCCCTTTCTCTTCCTCAGTCAAGTCTGTCCTGTATTTAGCAAGTGAAAATAAAAAATAAAATAAACAATAAAAGGTGAATCAAACAGACCATTACGGCAAAGCTGGGATGGTCCATTTGGTAAAGTAAATCTGTTGGGCATCTTTCTTCGCCTTTAGACAATAATTCTGATGGCAAAAGAGCCAAACGGGACAGGCAAAAAAAAAAAAAAAGAGAGTGTGGGGAGTGAGTTGGAGGGCGGGGTGGGGTGGGCTGCTTTTAACCATGTAAAGCACTTTGTGCTACATTTCTGTATGAAAAGTGCTTTATAAATAAAGATTGATTGATTGGTTGATACTTTGAGGACATGTAAATAAAACTAACAGACTATTAAAGTAAGTTGATTCTGAATGTGTGGTAGGACGCACTGATTGCTTTTAGTTAGATGACCCTCCTGTTGTTCAGTTAGTGAATACAAGTAAAATAGAGCAGTTCTGATATGTACAATATATATTTTTAAATGTATTTTGCCATGTATGAAACTTGCAAGTGGGTGATGTGAGAGTCAAGTGACCAGGGACTGAGACTCCACTGAGGGTGAAGCCAAAACTAAAGCCAGATGTCTGGCAGCACATAAAGTCAAAATCAAATTCAGTCTAAACTAATTGGATCGGGACCTTGTGAATCAGAACTGAATGAGTTTTAGAAATCAGTGACAATGCCCAGCCCTATTGTCTGTGAAGGTTTTCCCAGATTTTAAAGCCCTAAGGGTTTAAAAACGTTGAGACTCTCTACCAAATCAAGTGAATTAAATTGGGACCTTGTGAATGGAACTAATTGTTCTAAAGACTGAAGAAGTTTCTCGGATGAGAGGTGAAACGTCTTCAAGAAACTTAAAGAAGGCCGAATGCTTTTCTTTACAAGCTCCTTAGACTACCCATCCCTATAATCTACATGAAGGTTGAGGTTGGAAAATTACAAATAATTTAAACAATGCTTCAAAAAAATGCAACTGTACCTCAAACATGGATACCAAGTAACAGGAATCATTGTTTTTAGTAAGATGACTTATTATGTTCTTTACGGACATCCAGTCGATGCCTTTGCATCCAGTGGAATTACTAACATGCTAACACAATTTAATTAACAGAGTTGTTCCAAACACTCAGTCTAAAATAAGAAGATAATAATATAAATACATACCTCACAGTAACTGCACTTGTCGAGTTACTTTCTGGTGTGGATCTCTTGGTGTTTTCTCAGGGACTTTGGAGATTTGAAAGTCTTATCACACAGGTCACATTTATAAGGTCTCTCCTCATTGTGGGTCAACATGTGGCGTTGTAACTGTGCATCTGTTGTAAACAGTTTCCCACACTGAACACAGCAGCAAACATCATGTCCAGTGTGAATCCGTTGGTGAATATTTCGGGTCCCTAGCCGACTGAAAGTGTCTCCACAAATGTCACAGCTATACGCTTTGATTCCAGAGTGGGTAACTCGATGACGTTTTAAGGTGCAACTGAGAGCAAAAGATTTACCACACTGATCACAGCTGTATGCTTTAACTCCACTGTGGATGAGTTGGTGTGTTTTTAAGTGTCCAAGTTGGGTGAAAGATTTTTCACACAAGTCACAGCTGTACGGTTTAATTCCACTGTGGATGAGTTGGTGTGCTCTCAGGTGTTTAGCCTTGATAAAACCCTTCCCACAATCGTCACAGGTGTGTTTCTTCTCTCCCTTTCTTCTGTGAGGTTTGTCGGCCTCCTGAGAGCGCTGACTTCTCGCTCCATGTTGGTCCTGCAGTGACAGAGAAACAAACAGAGGCAGTGAGTGAAATGCAGTCGTGGAACAAACTGAAACTCCATAACGTGCACACAGGTTCAATAACAGAGATATTCTTGCTCACCTTTTGGGTTGAAGTCATTGTTTCCTCTGTAGTGGCTGAGCTGAGTCTAAATGGCTCGTCTCCTCCTGATGATCAGCTGGAACACAAAACATATTTATATGTGTTAGAGTATTTTAAGCTTTTATTGTCATGAAATGTAACTGAGTGATATACTGATAAGTGTTTAATATTTCTGCTTATGCAAACGTCTTTCTATCATGAACTCTCTGAACAGTGGGCCACCACTGTTCGAGGAGATCACAAGAGATGTGTGCAAATATAACCATCCTTGCAAGAGCTAATTTCTTTAAGCATATTCTAGGTGTCAGCACATAGCAACAGAAGGTTTGCCATAGATAGCGTACAAAGCATTAACCACAATAAGTTGTGAAAACCAGCTGTTATTGTTAGATTAAGTTCCAGGAACTGCATGTTCTCCACCCACGAGTGAAGGGCGTGCAGCTAAGTTCCTGTTTTATCTGTGTGTTTCACCATGTACCATGAAGTATAAATAAAGACGTAAGACCAGTGCGGGGTGTGAGTATCTGTTGAACTCTCACCCGTGCACGTTAAACTGTTGAAGTGTCTGAGTGTCGTTTCTTCACCCGAGTGTTTTGATAATTGTTTAATCCCTGACAATATGTATTCCACCCGTGACAAAAAGAAGCTGAGATGGAAAGCTCGAATCCACTCAAACTGAATGTCTTCAGTCAGTGTGTCAGCCTCCAGTTAACAATGACGGTGAGAAACTGCACTACTGAACCTCCACCAACTGAGTAACTGCAGTTTGGTGCTTCATTTGAACCTTATAGATTTTATTAAACAAAATGTATAGAAAACTCTACAAAACAGAACAGCATGCAGGGAGCAGACTCTTCGCTGTAATTTTTTGTTGCGCATAAGAATCCACATGTTCCTCTTGTTATAAGATTAGCAGGACTGCTCACTTATGCTTTTTACATGTTGGTCTGTTTAAAGGTCACGCCATAAATGGAGTGACTGGAAATGTAGTTAAAAGGTCAGAGCCATATAATATATGCCAGCATTTAGGGTCCTTTCCACAACACCACACGATTGTTGCCACAACCGTGACACCACCATTCAATACCCAACAGGATTAAAAACATAATTCTTCCCCCAAATCACCAAGAGCTGCACATTAACCACCACCATTTATTTTAATTCTCAGTGCTTTCAAACATGAACTTTCATCTCTGTTTCATTAGCTTTTGTTAACATCTGTTGTTAACATCGGGGCGATCGTGGCTCAAGAGTTGGCAGTTCGTCTTGTAATCGGAAGGTTGCTGGTTCAAGCCCCGGCTACGACAGTCTCGGTTGTTGTGTCCTTGGGCAAGACACTTCACCCATTGTGTTCAGAGGGCCCGGTGGCGACAGTGTCCGACAGCCTCGCCTCTGTAGCTTGCCATCACCAGTGTGTGGGTGACTGAATGTGTAAAGCGCTATACAAATACAGGCCATTTACCATCTTCCTGTGCATCACTTTACAGCAGCCAGACTCATTAAAATGAGACTGTAGGAGTTTACAGCCTCTCATGTGTTCATCCACAGCAGCTGGACTATAAAATTTATTGTGACCCTGATACTGCAGCAGATCGCTCTGATTTCCTGTTATCACTTCAAACACTCTCTCACTCTTCTCTCAACGTGTTCACAATAAACTGTGAACAGACACCGAGGAGAGCAGCAGAAGACCTCATTCAGGAGCTAAACTCAACATGAACTGAACTCACAGTAAAGTTAGCTCGGTGCTTACCTTTAGATGAGCCCACAAACCGAGAGAAACTCCGC